GGGGGGGGCGGCAGGAGAGAGATGGAGGGGGCAAAGAAAACCCGTTAGTAGAGCGGTGCCTTGCAATCGTGAGCGAGAGAGAGAGAGAGAGTACCGTGTTACGGGGTAGTTGCGAGCGCACGAGCGAGAACCCAACCGGCGCGCAGGGGACTCTCACTTTCACGCGGTGAACTGCGGGTGAATGTCCGGGAATTGGGTCAGAGGGCCCCCACCCTGTGCCCGGTGCCAGAGGCAATGTGCTGAAGCCACTGTGCTCACTGTGGCTAGAGTGAGCCAGTCGACAGTCAAGCCTCGATACAAACGGTTCTCCCGGTTATGAGGTGGCAATCTAATTGCTCATCATCATTAATTGTACAATTTCGGTGGTTATCATTGGGACAGTGGAGGGATTAATTCTGTGGTTCGGGAGGTGTTTATTTTGGATATCAGGCGATTAATTTGACTCTGTGATTGTGCTGTTTGTGGAATTGCGAATTACTTAAATTCTGGCGAGGGATTCTTCAATTTCGTAGTTTCCACCCCCGCCCCCCCCCTCTTTTTTTTTGTTTCGTTTATCGTTTTATTGGACGGAATTCCATGGGGTGCTTGTGCGAATGTGATCATACAACCCGAAGAGCGGGGAGCGCATGTTCCTCGGGGTCATCGTCCGACAGTGACGGTCAAACTGACGAGGGTTTTACTGGTGATTCACAGGGATTTTTCCGAAGGAGCATTCAACAAAAAATTCAATATCGTCCCTGCACCAAGAATCAGCAGTGCAGTATTCTACGGATCAACAGAAATCGCTGTCAGTACTGCCGTCTCAAGAAGTGCATCGCTGTTGGCATGAGTCGTGATGGTGAGTTTTATCACATTTTCCATTTTAATAAAATTATTTATGTATCAGCGGATGCAATGGCTTTTTCAATCTTACGCGATGATTCTAAAAATTTGGGTTGCCAGGCCATTGACCATTTACGCAATTTTTGTTCTTTACGCCGCGAGGCGACTGTCGCAATTGGCGAAAGTGCCTGATTCCCTCCTGCGAGAAAGTAACCGGCGTTATTTCAACATTGAAAATGAAAAAAATGAGGCTTTTACGGGTAAAATGCGCGCTTTTAAAGTAGAGTGTCGCGGAAAAATCTGGCCGGGGATGGCCCGGGCATGACCTCAGTCTATCGCACGCGCGGGGTGAATGACCTCCAGTGCCTCACATTCGCAACTCAGTACAACGAGTCTGGAAGACTCAGAATCACTCAATCACTCGCGCAATCATTCATTTCTCATCAAAAGTCCATTGAATTAAGGGGAGACTACTATGATTTGAATACCTACACATTGAAGATCGACTATATGTGTCTAAAAATAAATAATTGGCGCAAAAAAATAAATTGTTTATTGTCTGTTTGCCCCACGGGGCCCCCAATTTTTTAACTACAGCGATTTTTTTTTAATTTTTGAACAAATGGGTAATAAACATTACGAATTAGTTTTTTGAAATTCGACTCCTACATAGCTAATTATTTTTTTTTATGAAAACTGGCCCAAAAAATGTTTTTTTGCCTATTTTACATGAATGGAGCAAATTTTTATATTAAACAAAATCAGCTGTGTCGAATTTCAAAAAACTAATTTGTAATTTTTATTGTACACATTATTTCAAGAATTTTGAAAAAAAACCTCTGTAGCTCAAAAATTGGAGGCCCTGAACTACTTTTACCATTTTAAGCGTGAGTTGGGCAAACGACCAATAAACAATCAACTCTTTTGCACCAATTATTCGTTTTTAGGCATATCATTGATCTTCAATCGCCCGTGACTTTTAAAACTCATAGTAGTCTCCCCTTAACGAGGAAAAATTCCCTTTTCTTGTAATTATGCGACTGTTCAAAGTATTATCACGAAAGGGGAGCAATAATTGGATTGAAATTAAAATGCCATGAGTGCGATAATTAACAACAAAGAAAATTTTTTCGGCGGGGTCAATAGTCGCGGCCGATGGACTCTTGCATGCGGCTATAGAAAGAGTACCGCTACGTCTCCTCACACTACACACACTACATTCCCTCCGCGGTATAAGCGTGCACTACCTCCCCCTCTCGATCCCCAACCCTTCAACAACATCGCGATATATCCCCGTGCGCGCTGCTCGACTTGTTCGGTTCACCAACGCCACAATTCCCCTCCCCCTGAGTTCCTCGCCACAAACCCCTCATGATCCGGAGGAACGCGCGCCGTCGCGTGGCGCTACACGATGGCCGGAGACCTCGCGAACTTCGCGTCATAACTATACGCTATACCATCCCCACTACCGCGATAGATCCCACCACTCCTTCTCAATCTATATCGAGCCTTTCGACTGGTACCCTCTCTACTTAAAATCGGAGCGCATGCTCCAACTGCCGTCCCGCCAAACGGTGCAAGCCCAAACTAGACACAACGCGATCGGCTGTCGCGTTGGAATCATCGGAGCTTGGGATGAGACATCCGCGGGAAATAATCCGACGGAATTGCCGGTAATTCTCCCTGACTATCCCGCATTCGCAGGGAATAAGATGACAATAGTACCCCCAAAACGTTTTTCGAACGAGAATGAATAAATCTTTCAATCGAATCGTTCAGGCGTTATCATCGATGATGAATAGTCCGTGAACGCTCAAGTGATCTCATCATCCATCGGTGAGTTCGGCCAAGGTCGAGTGAGGTAAGCTTTTGCTCCCTGGTAGAGCTTACGGGGCACCCTCGATTTTCAGACATGTACTGACCACTCGCGTTCTAATGCGTAATTCTTATTTTAAGCAATAAATCAGTAGAGAAGCGGTAAAGCGGTTCAAGTCGAGTAAGGCCTCAACTGAGTTTTTGAGGAATATCTCCCAATTTAACGGAGATAACGAAATTTTTGTAGTGAGGTTTTTTATAGAGCGAGTTAAGGGCTACAAAAAATATTTCAACAAAAATTTTGCCATCTCCCTCAGATTCCGAGATATGACCAATAGTTACGCGAACCGACATCGAGCTTTCTGCTTGCAGGGCGCGGTGGGCTTTAGCGCGCTGCGTTCTGTCACGCAACTATTTCCTCTCGCTCATATCTCGAAATCTAAAGGAGATACGTAAAATTGACAAAAGACAAAAATTATTCCTTATCAAATTCTAAACGACTAGTGATGCAAAAATTTCCGTATATCTTTCATAGTTTAGGCGCTAGGGCGATTTGAACAATTAAATTGTTGATAATAAATAGTTGCAATGCCTAAAATTGATTGGAAATTGTTTACTTGACGTTACGTGATCACAATTTATTGTACAAAAAAAGCATTACGCATTAGAACGCGTGTGGTCGGATGGTCAATTTAGAGGCGCTTTTTTGGGGGTGTCTCGCGGTTTTATGGGGGTTCATTAGATTGAACGGACCAGAGGGGTGAGTGAGATAAGGGTATCTGCGCACACACTCCCCTCGGATCCCACCATCGGCCGAGGTTTCGCCTTTTCTCTCTCTCTCTCTCTCTCTCTCTCTCTCTCTCTTTTTCTAGCGATATATAGGTCGGCAGTACGCCTCGCGCGGCTGTCGCTGAAACCAAGTTCAAGGCCAAAGGCTCGGCAAAGGCCACAATCGTCGTTGAGCGGCACAACGCGTTTTGGTAGTGGGGGCATACCCGTTGATGGCTGAATATGGCGGGTGGCGGGGGTAGGGAGAGGGTGGGATAAAGGGAGTAGAAAGGGGATAAGAGGGAGGGGGGCGGGGGGCTGTTGAACGCAACTCACGGAACGTCACTCAGTCGGCGGTGATGCTGTCTCGCGTTTGCACGCGCTGTCTCGTCCCGCTCGGTAAATTTAAAAAATTGAGGAGTTGTTTTGTGCCATTAACGCGCGTTTTTCTGGAGTGATTCGATTGGTTTTAACGAGTCAGCCGGTCTGTGCATATCGACGAGAATTTCGTCAGTTAATTTTTTTTTTTCTCCAAGACCAATTGATTGGATTACTGTGTGATACATGTGCTGTTCAATGAGGAAATAATAAAAATAATCGAGGATTTATTGTTGTGGGGTGCATTTTTTTATCACTGAGGATTACATCGAGTTTCAACATTACTACTAAAAGGAGAATTGGAAATTTTTTTTTTATTATCAAGAGTTATCGCAGACAAGTCATGGGAGACGAGTTGCCGATCCTCAAAGGGATCCTCAACGGTGTTGTCAATTATCACAATGCACGTAGGTGTTTGCATTGATATATAATAAATTATCATCTGCCCAATAAAAATTATTACTACACTTTCTATCGTGGCACTTTCATCTTACATGAGTGTACGAAATGTGGTACAACCGAGAAAGTCAAGTGTGATTGTAAACCAAAGCTTTCCCCTTCGAACCGTTCGAGTTCACAATTTAATTCGATACAAACAGAAAATTTACGCGCGAAGAAATGAGGATAAAGGAGAATTGAATAAATGAGATTTGCAAAAAAAATAATGAGTAGTCATACGACAATTGTTGGCCGACCTTGCTCGGTCACGGAAACGGTTCGAGGCGCTCTTACAATTAACTTCCAAGCATACTGTCACGCGATAACCGATGGCCATCGACGAAGGCCACTACCTCTCNCCCCCCCCCCCCGCTTATCAACAAATGCACCTCTCACGTTCTATGATTCATCCATTGATTGCATTAACGATTCATTACCGATAATTCAGTAGCGAAGCAGTAAAACGGTTCATGTAGATTTGACTATGAGATGTTCCTCAACAGTTTAGCCCAGGGCTAAGTCGACTTGAACCGTTTTACCGTTCAAATGAATGATGATTTTTTTTTCTCATCAATGCGCTCTCTTTCGTTTGATTACAGCGGTTCGATTCGGCCGTGTGCCAAAACGTGAGAAAGCAAGAATTCTGGCGGCAATGCAGCAGAGTTCCCACAGTCGTTCACAGGAGAAGGCTGTTGCCGCTGAATTGGAGGATGAACAGCGTCTTCTACAGACTGTTGTTCGTGCCCACCTTGATACGTGTGATTTTACAAGAGACAAGGTGGCACCAGTACTGGCCAGAGCGCGAGAGACACCAAACTACACAGCGTGTCCACCAACCTTGGTGAGCATTACCAAATTGTCTTTCATCATTCGTTGAGAAAGGAATACATTGCGTCATTTGAATCTTCCTCATGCACGAAAAGTTGACATTATGACGGCATGAGCCTTGACTGAAGGTTTCAAAAAACGCGGAAATATTTAACTATAACACTGAAATCACACCAGTCGTCCTTGGGAAATTGAATTCTGACTAGTGAAGGAGGAAGTGACCGTATGTGATGTATATAAACCCCTTGAAAGTTGCATTTAGTCTCGAGGACAACTGGCGAATACTCTGTTGGGAAAAAAAACATTGAAATTTCAGGGACAGTTGACTAGTAACTTTCAGAAGAGTGACATTGAATTTCACTTGGGGGGAGAATAATCGTGAAATTTCAAAATTTTGCTGCAAAACATGAATCTATTGACCTGAATTTTCCAGAAATTCAGTTTCCATTGATTTTTCCATTAAATTTCAACTTCTTAACGCTATTATTTCCACGAAACTGTCACTTGTTTGATATTTCAAGGCTAAAATCCGCAAAATCAGTTGCAATTTGTCAACATAGAATAATGACTCACTCCTTCTGTCTCCTCGAATGTTTCAGGCATGCCCACTGAATCCCAATCCCCAGCCATTAACCGGTCAACAGGAATTACTACAAGACTTCTCGAAGAGATTTTCACCGGCAATAAGAGGTGTCGTAGAATTCGCCAAACGCATTCCTGGTTTTAACCTGCTGGCACAGGATGACCAGGTGACCCTCCTGAAGGCGGGTGTTTTTGAGGTACTACTTGTCCGTCTCGCCTGTATGTTCGACGGTCAAACAAACAGTATGATCTGTCTAAACGGCCAAGTGTTGAAGAGGGACTCAATTCACAACAGTAATGCCCGTTTTCTCATGGATTCAATGTTTGATTTCGCCGAACGTGTCAATTCCCTTCGGCTATCGGACGCCGAACTCGGCTTATTCTGCTCAGTCGTTGTTATAGCAGCTGACAGACCGGGTCTACGTAATACTGATCTCGTTGAACGTATGCACAATAAACTGCGTAGTGCCCTGCAGTCAGTACTAGCTCAAAATCATCCGCAGCATCCGGATATACTGCGCGAATTGCTCAAGAAAATACCCGATCTCAGGACACTGAATACACTTCACTCGGAGAAATTACTGGCATTCAAGATGACGGAGCAGCAGCAGCAGTTGCAGGCACAACAGGCACAGCAGCAGGCGCAACAACAGCAGCAGCAGCAGCAACAGCAGAGCCAGCACACGAATGTCCATCAGCAGTGGCCAATGGAGGAGGAGCCAGCGGCCTCTTGGGGCTCAGCCTCGGACGTGACTCTAGACGAGGCGGTGAAGAGCCCCTTGGGAAGTGTCTCGAGCACCGAGAGCACCTGCAGCGGAGAAGTAGCTTCGCTAACGGAGTACCATCATGCCCCTGGCCACCACGCATCGAGTGCACCCCTTCTTGCGGCAACTCTGGCCGGTGGCCTCTGCCCCCACAGACGTCGCGCCAACTCCGGCAGCACGAGCTCGGGTGACGACGAGCATCACCGTGCCACAATGTCGAAAACCCCTCAGCCCCAGGCCCAGTGTCCACGATTCCGTAAACTGGATTCACCAAGTGACAGTGGAATTGAGTCGGGAACTGAGAAACCGGATAAACCAGCTAGTAGCTCTGCGAGCAGTGCACCAACCTCGGTATGCTCAAGCCCAAGATCCGAGGATAAGGAGGTTGAGGACATGCCTGTGTTGAAGAGAGTGCTGCAGGCACCACCACTTTACGACACTAATTCCCTGATGGACGAGGCTTACAAGCCGCACAAGAAGTTCAGGGCGCTCAGGCAGAAGGACAGCGCCGAGGCTGAGCCTGTAATTGTGCAGCAGCAACAGCAGCAGCAGCAGTCGCAGTTACATCTGCATTTAACGTCGCCACCGACGAGAAGTCCAACGACACAGAGTGCGAGTTTACTGAGCAGTACACACTCGACACTTGCCAAGAGTCTTATGGAGGGTCCCAGGATGACTGCTGAGCAGCTCAAACGCACTGATATCATTCACAACTACATCATGAGGGGCGAGGCCAGTCCGAGATCACCAGCAGCATCGCCATCGCCGGCGGAGCAGTGCGCCTCGACGACAACTCTCAGTGCACGCTCCCCCCAGGCGTCTCAAGGGCTTCTGCAGTGCGCAACAACTGGCTACTCGAGGTGGCCTGCAACATCCGTCATCACCACGACAACGGGAGCCAGACAACAGTCTTCCGGGTCTGGCTACATCGTCGTCAATAATTCACCGGCATCACCGAGGTATTTATCCGTTGCTGCATCCAGTACAAGTTGCACGAGTCCAAGGCCAACGTCCAGTACAGCTGCGACACTTGTTTTATCGGGTTGCCCTAGTAATATGATGGAGTTGCAAGTGGACATTGCTGATAGTCAACAACCCCTCAATCTTTCGAAAAAATCGCCGTCCCCATCGCCGAGGCCATTCGTTGGACCGTGCAAGGCTCTCTCGCTCGAGGCGTAGTGCTATCATGAAAACTTTAATCGAAATAATTCTAGCCCACCTTAAACGAAATTCATTTTCTCAAGTTATTCCTGGGGATCTCTCATTCCCAACCAGTGGAATGAATTTTTTTTTTTTTAATGCAATTGTTTTTTCTTCTTCGAGTATAACTAAAGTGCCAGGACGCTCTGAGCGCGTGACAAACCAAATAATTTATTATTTAAAGGAGGTATGGTAGGAGGAAGCTGAATTGAATGGGGGTGGTTTCAGGTGTTTTCTGTGACGTGTGATGTGACACTAAACACCCCCGCGACCCCCTGTCTCTATTTATGAATGAATAGTGCTAAAAAAATTATTTCAAATAGATTCAAAGTGCGACTACATTTGTGTGTAAATAAATGAAAAGGGTAAAGATGGGGTTATAGGCGCTTTTGAGTGATCGCATTCGACGCAATGCCGTGAAAAATTTATCTGAGATAACATCTATCTATTTACCTGTCTACCTGTCTAACTGATGTCGTTAAATGGGTGAAAAGAAATATAAAAACAACACAAAATATAGTGATTAGCGTGCGGAAATATGTGAATTTTCAAATCCCGAGGGATCGAAAATTGATTAAAAAACAACAAAAAAACAAGATTGAATGTTACAGAAAAAAAAATTAATAATCTATTACATGTGATAATCACGGATATCGCGCATCCTGTACAGTCTCCACCTCATTCATCAATCATTTACTCTATTATTATTATTATTGAATATTAAATAAATGAATAAATAAGTAATATTATTGTAATAAATTTAAGGGTACAATGTAATCAATCGTAAACGTTATCATCCCGTGTGTATGTATATTCCGTAGGGACACGTGAGGGAAGAACATGTTTTCTCTTTTATTCTCACGTGGAAGAAACGATAAGTGTGCTAGTAACTGTGTATATGTCGGTATGAGTGGAGTGAGTAAGTCGGGGCAATCGAATAAAAATTGTAGCGAGTGTGGAACTAATGATAAGTCATGAGAAGAAAATAAAAACAAGAAAGAAAATATATTTGAAGCAAAAATGAAGTGAATAAAAAATTCATTAAATGAGAAAAAAAACCTTGTCAAGAATTATAATTGAGAGAGAATTGTCGATTTGATGATTTCAAGGAGTTTTGTTATGAGACTGACCGGTCCCTGGGGCCTCCAGTTTGCAATTACCGTACCTTTATACCATGTGTCGTATCTGTAATGGAGAAAAGATTATGAGATGATGCAAAAAAAAAAATATACAAACAAGTAATTAATCTCTAAATACGTCGTGTAGATGATTTAGGGCTTTAGTTTTATTGGAACACGGAAATGATATCTTAAATGAAAGGGAAAAAAAAGCATACAACAATTGTGTCGGCAAATTATTTCGTGTGAATGGCGGAAGTACGAACCCTGGATGGATCGATGAGACACTTGTAAATAATAAACATTAAGAAAAAACTTGAATTTATTAGTAGGCGTGAGTGGAAGACAAACTTTTTTGAGAAAAAAAAATTAAGAGGAATAATAAATACAAAATTTCTAAAAAACAATGAAACACAAACGATTGAGCAGTAATCGCCATTTTGGCTGTCCCTTCCTTGCCCCCCACCCCGAGCAAAAATTAGCAAATTGCCATCGCAAATCAGTGAAGGAAAGATAATATCGTGTTTATTATCTCTGCAAATTGTATGATTAATTATTATACTACGGAGTCATTCCCACAAGAGCACATGATCTGTCCCCCCCCCCTCTCTTTTGAAAAAATAAACTCATCATCCGGCTGAATAAATCTAACGATTGATCATAACAACAAAGAATCGCCGAAATTATCGGGCGATTTTTCACTTTTCTCCTGTTTTACGAATTATCAGCGATATAGTTTTTCTTTATTTTCGTCAATTTCTCATCACCGAAACCCCCTGAGTTGATTATGCAGCTGAATCTATACAGTACTCTGAATGAATTAAACAAACAAAGTAAGAAATAAAAGAAAATGGAAAATGAAACAAACAAAAACCCCCCTAGCATTGATATTCGTAATACTGTTATGCATAAACTACACATAATTATTATAGTAAACGATACATAAAGTATGATATATTTCTCTATCCATTAAGACGGAAAATACAAAAAAATGCAGTTTGTTGTTTCTGGTGAACAAAAATAAGAATAAAAAATAAAGTAAAAAAAATGAAATAAAAGTACTACGCATGAATACAAAGCAGCCCCGCATATTGCCCAGTGAGCACGTCATTTTGTACGCTTGGGAGTTGTGAGGTCGTCTGAATAAACATTGTCTGGTGAATTATACATAAAAAATCATTTTTTCATTTCTCCTTTTCCCTCCAACCGATCGTAAAGCCGAGACTCTGCAGTAACAATACGAAGGTGATATTTGTCCTTTGTGAGCGGGGGGAAAAATGCTGTTCGAACTGCCATGAACTGGACATTCGTCACGCGTTGTCGAAGGCCCAGCGACGTCGAATGCTGATAAGAGACGTCAGTTTTATCACTTCGAAGGATTCGTGTCTGGGAGGAGAGAATATTTTCATAAATTCTATGAACTCATTCGAATACAATGTTGGAAGAAGAATGGCATTTTCAGTTTCAAAATCCACTGAGCCTTCCATTAATTGACAGTTCAAGAATATATTGACGCGAAACTTTCAGACTTCTATAATTTTTCCTGGAATAATTGACTGTATAAAGCTATATTGTTCAAAATCTCAAAAATTATTCACCCGATTTCATGTTTTTTTTGTCAAAATATTCGTCGCGATGTCTCCTATCTAGTTCTTCCAAAATATATCCACCCGTTCCTACAATGTTTACGGGATATTGGAGTTTTTCTATTTTTCATCGTCAATTTTAAGTCTTTTCCTTGAATAGTAATGCCAAATTTAAATGGAACACGTCATTCCACCAGAAGTCATGAAATTACGGCGCTGGGTTGTTCTCTGATTCATCCAATTTGACGCTTTCGTCGACTATTCCTGTACCAAATACCGTTGAGCTCGTGCAGAGAGACGCATTGTCCTGATTGATGAGTACCTGCAATTTTTTTTATTACACATTCCTCTCCTAGTTTGCTACCTACACTTTCAACGGGTCACCCTCGTGGTTGCGCAAAGAGATGGAGGTGGCGCGTGGCACAGGGTGGGCGGCTATTGCCCGGACAACCTGTTCCGAGTGGAAGTAATTTTTGTATGGTTTCCATGGTGAACTCAGACCTTTAGCTCTATCATGATGAACATCCCGAGGGAAAATTCTCGGAAATTCAGATGCGCTGAGTCTCGTAAACATTGGGTCCATAAAGATTGCACTTGGTCAAATCGTAATTAATAGACAGTGAAGTCATTATCACCGGTTTCATTTCAATGGCAGTATTTATTCATCACTCACCAAATTACAGACTCTCAAATTTATGTGGAGTTGCAGTATCGGGCGAATTTATCTCGTCGTAAATGACTGGAAGTTGGTAATAAAATGTCAACCAGCTGTTAACTCACTGTCGTGTAGAACCAGTCAGATATTCGAAAGTGTTGAATTGTGGGACAACTTTATATCATCATCAACGGGATTCCCTCATGTAAGGAGACCAAATGATGGATTTAATTATAAAAGTCCCATGAATAAAAGACAAATTGCTGCACTGTCAGAAAATTAGTCTTGAAAGTTCACGTGAAAAAGCTTAAAATTATTAAGAATTCTCAATCTGTTGAAAATTGAATTGTTTGTTTAACATAAAAAACCTGGCATTTTCTCGAATTTTCAAGAGAAATTTCATGAATATTTCCTTTTGAAATTGATCTTAAACTCACAACATCGAGAATTTAGATGACACTGTGACTGAAATTTCAAGAAATTTCCACCAGTGTGAAGGATAATCTCGATCCGATGGGGTTGTACATTGCCGATGTAGTGGAAGGGGTTTTACAGCTTGCACCGTGCAATGCTGGTGTGAGCCAGCCGTTCCGGAGTTGATAAATGAGCTGAACCACCGAGTCTCGTGAAAACGGCCTTCGTTCATCGTGTTTTCATTCATAAGTGGACTTGTACGAGTGTAAGCCCCAACATTTTACTCACATCGGTCTTTTCATTCTACTCAGTCTTCCCAGGGATGAAGGATGGAAAAAAAATTAACGACTGCGTACATTTCGACTGCAACAATTCCCAATTTATAATTGTTCTCGCCACACTGCAGGTATAAAATAATTCTTATTGCGCAATAAACTCTCAACGTTACTCGAATGAAAGACCCCCGGTGTTAATTACCATCCTCACTAATGAGTTAAAAAAATTCTAAATGAAACCATAAACCTCCAAGGTCCTCGATAATCATGATAATTTATCCTTGGCACGATACCTCCGAAAAAAAGTATACATAACATCAGTGAACACCAACAAAAGTCAGAAAATAGGCGATATTTCAGGGGCATTATTACCCCCGCTCAAATTAACCCAGTCGATTCCCACTGTCCTCCACCCACGCCAGTCAATTTAATATGAAAAAGGCAAAAACCCACCCACATTATTCCTCTTTCCAAACCCAACAGACACTCATTTCAACAAAAATAGCATCTCATTTTTACAAGCTCTGTTTATTCTCATCTCTTCATTTACCATTTCGCCCGTGATTTAATAAATTACCATCTCGGATGTTCTCAAACCGAATGAACATTGTTCTGGAGGAATTAAGAATCACGTTCCCTGGCCAACTTAACATTCCCAGACTGGACCCAGGTTGCGGAGCCTTCGGGACGCCCTCGCACTCCTTTTATTCCCCCTTTTTTCAATATATATTCATTTTTTTTTCTCTTCCTCCCCCCCCCTTCCCGTGGCTTTCGTTCGGCTTCTGAGAGATCACTGGCCTCCCCTAGTCCCCCCAGCCACCCCCCCCCCTTTTTCATCGTCTACCAATCCTCCAAGCAGCGGTGTATGTGTATGTCTCGACCAAAGAGCGCGTTCAAGGTCCAACCGAGGTCGCAGACCGTGTATTCGTCCCTTATATACACGCTTTATGGACAATGCGAATTCAAGTTGAGAGTAATGGCAAATAGTAAATGGTAATGACGACGTTGAAACGTGCATTTCACTGTGCGAGCTCTGCTCCAATGAAAAAGAGCCTTGTGGAACTACTCTTGCACCCTCTGACCCCCTCGCCGAATGGGTGAAGGGTCTTTGTACCACTCGGTATTATATATTTTTTTCTTCATCTGCTTCTTCTGTTCTCGAGTTTATGACCTTCGCGCTAAATTACACGCCTACTTGGCTCATCGGAGGGCCCCCGGGCCTTGACAAGTGTTCCGAGTTTCATCGAGTCCCGGGGTTACGTTTAAAATAGGTAATTAACTGGAGGATATTTGAAATAGCCAGAGCTGCCCAGTATTTTGGGAAAATTAAATAGAAATACTATTCCAAATGACTCAGTTCAAGTTGACTATTTCGGTCGATCGAATAGTATTTATTTAAATATCTTTTTCAAATTGAAATAAAATAGTTATTTGGTATTTCATTTCAACGAAACAGAAAATGAAATAGTTTTTACTATTTCACTATTTGGTTTTACATGAAATAGTTTTTTTTTCTTGTGAATATTTGCCTTTCCTATCGCAATGAATTACGAAGAAGTCAGTGGGTTATTTGTCGTGATTGTCACTAAAGATGGGACTTTATAGCGTTTAACATTTTGAAAAATTGTTGTTTCTAATTATTGTTTCTGTTCCAATTGTTTCTCTGGGAAAAAAAATTCAAGTAATATAAAAAAAATTGAAGAAAACTCTACGAATTATTTTAAATAGTATGTTTTTTGACGGAATTATTTAATTAATATTTTATTTGAGATGTTCAATAACTTCAAAATAGTAATTAGTCATAAATATCTGAAATAGTATTTTGCTCAGCTCTGGAAATAGGAAATTGACTGGAAATTTGGGGGGGGGG